CCGAGATTACAGAAGATTAACAATATTATTCCACATATCCTCGTATCGTTTAATATCTTTTAGGTAGTTTGTTATTCGTTCTATATATTTTTTGTCGTTTAGTAATTTTGTTATGTTGTTAGGAAATTTTTCTTTTGTTCTAATATCATTGTAGATAGGACAATCCAGTAAGAAGTGTTTTACAGAAAGTTCTACATTACAAGTCCTCTTTGCATTACTAGTCCTTTTCTTAGTTTGTTATAGGATTTTGATGCTAATTAGATATTCTCAAGGGGGAGATTTCCTGGATTATCAACCTTATTTTCTTTCTTTTATATTTTTTTAATTATTCGACTGAATTGGTTCTTAATACTCATATAAGATGAGGGTATAGTTCTGGCATCATTCGATTTATTTAAGAAGCTTTTAAAATTAGTGAAAGAAATAGGATACTGGTTTTGTAGCTCTAACATTTTGCTTTTAATTGGGTCTAGGTATTGGTCAATGTTTTCTTTTGCTACTAAATGGTTAGCTGTATTCTGTTTTTTAAGCTGTCTTTTGGGTAGGCTGTTTAAATCGTTTTCTTTACTTAAATTGTTTTCTGTTGAGAATAGGAAGTTAATGCTTGATTCAGACCCGGAGAGATTATTGTATAGATTCTTGGGAGGGGGGGGGGCGGAGTGTGATTCTGTCGTTGAAGCGAGGGGGGTCTTTTAATTCCTAACGTATTGTCTTCCATAAAGGGATTTGGGGAATTCGGTAGACTTCGGAGGAATGTATCCGTTTCTTGTGTATTTATGGTTGTGTGACCGGTTGCTATATTTCTATAAACATTAGGTGTTGGTACTTCTTGTATGTGTTGTCTAGTACAGTCTCTTCCCGTACCGATGTGTCGTGTGCTATAGGGCACTGCCTCGCACTACGAGGTGGCCTTCCTTCTTGCATACAAAGCAGGTCAGAGAATCTGACGAAATGAAAATTCAGTAATTTGTGTTGTCGTAATCTATTTGAACAGAATCTGGTAGGTTTTTTAGGTCATCTGGATGACGTCTGATGCTTATATGTAAGCATCCAGGTTCGTTGCTTCCGGCTTTGATGAAAAAAATGCTGGTCTCTAGTCTAATTTTGAGTCCTTTGAAGATATTTTCTATTTTTTCGTGGGTATAATCGGACAAACATTGGAAAGGATTATCTACTTGACTTTGGATATTAGAGATATAATTTGCACCTTGGTGTTTTCAAGAGTTATATACTTTGCCTTTTCTACTAACTCGTTGGCTATTTCTTTAGTTGCTAGGTATGTACAGATCCTGTTGTTCTATATTCTTAATATGAATATTATATTTTTGGGGTTGGTCAATTTTATTAATTTCTTTATATAATCGTTATTGTTATACCCATCGACTGCATCTAAAATTATGACCTGGTTTTTCTTCGTAAAATATTGGTTCTTGGTGGCTGAGGTGTAATCCACACAATAGTCCATTTTATTGTTGTTCTTGAGGGTTTTATCATCGTTCATTCTAACACTTTTATCTCTGCTGTACTCGACAGAGTTTAATAATTTTGGAAACACTTTGATTGATTTCGCACTATCTGGCACGTATTAAACTGTCTACGTGTCGCTCAGAACTCGTGAACCGTTTCCGCGCTGTCTACAAATACTTCTGTACTCGAGCACGGTTTGGAGCAAACTGTTATGTTACTATTTTGATGTGATTAGTAGAATTAATAACGTAGCTTGAAAATTTGTGAAACATACGTGTTTAATCTTTTTGCCTACAAACCACTCCGAAGTGTGTTGCCAGCGCCCCAAATTTAACACTCCAACCCCTCACATACACACATGCACGAACTGGTTCCATAAAAATGTTACTCCTGGCCTTCACTGCTTAGGCTAAGTAGTGGTTTATAATCTGTTCCCAGCAAATTTCTCCCAAGAGGACAATTCTCGTTTGATTGGAAATAGAATTTACTAGTACTGTGTGAAACAAAATAAGAAAAATATATATTAATATACAAGTATCTCTGTGATACAGAACAAAATACACGACACAATTGTTGCAGTCATAGAAATATAGAAACATCTCAGAAGTTTGATTAACATTGACCACGTACTTTCGTTTATAGTGAAATAAGATGTCTTTAAGCAACTTTAAGGAAATAATTAAATTATTAAAATGTGTTCATTAAGTATGTCTTCTTCTTGTGCTGAAAGTAATTCAACAAGTTGCTGTGCATCTTTCTGTGAAGATGGTACACTAAAATATGTACAGTACTGAGGTTCTTTATAACATATATGTATATCTAGAATGGTCTGATATATGTATATTCTACATACATATATGTCGATATGACATATAGATCGTGCAGCAACAGGTGGCGGAAAATTGAACACGTGAATTCCTATGACAATTTCCGTGAAAACTAAACAATGAAAAATAACAGTTTGGTCTCTTTGTTTTTCAACCAAAAAATATTCGATTTGGTATATTGAATGTCGTGTTTTAGATTTCGTGTTTAAACTGAAAACTAAACGGTATATTGGATATTGTGGTTTACAGATCTATTTGTTACTAAAAAAGGTGCTTTCAGTCCTGGTTTTTTCAGTTTTTTTTTTACTTGAAAGTAGAGTGTAAGAAAGGACAGCGATATACGGGTCGAACGAAAATACCTGGAAAGACAACGGCCAGCATGCCGATGTACATCAGTATGAATACATTGTAATGTTAGAATAAAAGCGATGACATAACTTTTTCATTTTAAATTTTTTATACATGAATTTTTTCTAACATATTGATCAGATTTTTCCAATGAAAATGATACCAAACATGATATGCTTTAGGCCATACTTGTTCATTATTCGTAGCAAGTAACTTATTTTATTTGCGAAAAAGCCATTAGAAAAACCGATTCTTAACGTATGAAATATTAAAGGCAACGTTAAAGAAGGTATGTGCAAATGTCGTTCGAAAGAAAATGTCAGTGAAGTTATGCAATTCGAGCCTACGTTCGGCGACGGGAGGAAGTGACCATGGCTGTTAGATAACGGAAGAAAGAATCCATGGCTGAAAGATGACAGCAGAAGAGTCCATGGCTGAGTTAGATAACAGCAGGAAGAGGTCGTGGCTCGGTTCGACTACAGTCTGAGGACGAGCCTATGCACGGAGGGTGTGAATGAACAGTTTTATGTACTTTTTCCACCAACCCTGGAATTTTAAGAGATCGAATATCGAAAAAGAACGACACTGTTTAGATACGAGGTCCTCGAAATTCAGCGCCGATAGCGCAACGGATGAATTACGGAAACGGCGATGAAGGACAAAGGCTGGAACAGAAGCCACGTTTTTTTATGAGGTAAAGAGTCAACTCATTACTTTTGTTCGAATCGTTTTTACGGCGTAACAACGTTACCAAAGTAAAAGTCAATTTGCATTCTATTCAGTAAAATTCCATGAAAATATGTTTGAGTGGGTAATCTATAACAAAACAATTTAATGTAGAATATAATTTTGCACTTATATAATTATGCACAATGTCAATGCAGCAATACAGTTATTATTAATATGTATAATAATGTATTTTACTTACATAATCATAGTGATAATAGAATCAAATGAATTACACATTAAGCATTAAGTAAATAAATATAATCGAAATTATATCGCATTTGATTTGATTTTAATCAGAAGTATTTGTCCAAACTATATCATGTTTGGTCTTCAAATCAAATTTTAATCAAATAACTATCATTAAAAAATCATAACTATCATAAAAAAGTCATGTTATTTTATTATGAGTTGTTTTCCGGGAAACACATGTTCGCCGACGTCGAATCTTATCATCGGCGTAGCGAGAAAATCGATAAATTACAGGGCCGTAATGATAGCACGGCGTCAGCGATGACGGACCGAAATTACGTTATTTCGAGAGACATTATTGTACTACACCTAAGAATATGCATCTGTGAAACACGTTTTTAAACTTTTGTCGGCAAGTGTATTTCCTTAAGTATAACACTATTTTCTTAATGCTCATTTCCGTTAGGTTGGCTTTTGCCGCTTGACCCTTCTACATAACTCTGGCCAGCGAAGTGAGCCAATTTGGTAAAAACTTAATTTCCACAGCATCACGCGTCGGCGCAGGCAAATCGGGAAGGGGTGTAGGCAAAGCCAAACAAGTTCGAAGCGTTTCATATCTCTTCAATGTTATTTGAGAAGGGTACGGTTCCACTTGAAAAGCCAAACGCTATGCTAGTTCGTTTCCCATCGATGTCGATAAAATATCAAAGAAAATCGTGCCAGACGGAGTCAAGTCATCCACACACGAGGAACAGAGAGAGAGAGAGAGAGAGAGAGAGAGAGAGAGAGAGAGAGAGAGAGAGAGAGAGAGAGAGAGAGAGAGA